GAACATTATGAAGAAAAAATATATTTTTTTATATATATATCTATAGATTGCAGCCATCACATCTTTTCTAATGTCTCTTTAAAGATGAATGGCTCTTGAAGATAACTAAGATTTTTTTGTAATATCTCTTTAACAATAAATGAGTGTTCCTTCTGAAGAGTCTTGCATAAAAAATCTTAGAAAAATGCATCTTGTAAAGAAGTGTAGAGCTGAAATTCAGTGGGGTTTTTATGTCTTAAGAATGCTGTGGTGACAGCTACCTGCTCAATGCCCTTTGTGTGGCTACTCAAAACATTGCTATGCCCATGCTTCTCTCTCTTATGCTGTTGTGACTCTCGGCCGTGTCTGTCTTAGGAGGTTGGCTTGCATGCTTCACCCCAGGCTGCTGGTGTGATTTCTCTATATAAAGCTCATTTTCAAGTGCACCATGGGTAGCAGGAGCAATGTTATTGACTGGCTTCCTCCCAGTCTCCGTGTTCCTAACTGTGTTGTGCTGGCCTCAGCTTCAGCAGATCTTGCACTGTCTGACCTCTGCAGCACTCTTCCTCCGAGTCATGTCTGCAGGATTAGGACAGTTTATAGTTTATCGGGGAGTGGCCTCCACCATGTTTTTGCAGTATCTAGTTGCAAAAAAAAAAAAAAGGCTGAACTGACTGCAGGACTAGCACAAATAGCACAGTAAATAAAGCTTCAAAAAAGGTCAGAATAATCCCTGCATAAACTGCAGTGTCAGCGCATCTGTGGGCCATGCTTCTTGCCTGTGGTTTGGCTCCTTGCAGGCTCCTGGTGGCCTCCCCCGCCAGGCGAATTGCATTGAGTTGGGGTTAGTGTCTCGTACACTCAGCGCTTGTTTGGGAATAATTTTATGATGTCTGAATGTCCACTGATATATTTAAGCTTCCACCACTGAAAAGGCAACAACCCCTGACTGTGGCCCCCTTTAAAAAGGAAGTGGGTGATAAAAATGGAGTGAGAAAAGGAAATTATATTCATGGAGCTACCAACCTTAATATATGTGTAGGAGATATGGTTAAAAATTGTGGTTTGTGAAGATTGGCAGTCCTGCTAAGGATGGCAAGTGTTCATAAAATGAGTTCCCATCAGGTAGCCCTGCTTCCATGTCTAAATGAGCTCCCCTTTTCTTGTAGGGTATAAAAATGCATTTTTAGGTCCCATCTGCATTAGCAGTTGGCTGTGTTTCTTGGCAGTCATTCTTTCCTTCTCCCACCAGTGATAAACCAGAAGAAAAAACAAATGTATTTTCAACGTAATGCCAGAAAGTTTGATTCCAACATGGGTCTCTGGAAGTGTTAAGCATTTTCCTGTGCTCTCCCCAAAGAAATGCTGGATGTCAGTAGAGTCTTAAGTACAAAGAACTTGTCTGTGGTTTAAAAGTACAGGGTCTTCATTAGCCATTTTGGATTAAGGGGTTCCCCCCTGTCCTCCCCAGCTGCTCCTTCCCACTCCCATGCTGGAGTGCCTTCCTCCCTCAGTTGCACTGTCTCGTGCGTCTTTGAGCAGGATGAGAGCCATGATCTGGGTTCAAACTGAGAAAAAAGCCTTACAGAAGGAGGTGCTTCTTGTAAGCCTGCCAGGTTCCCTGGTCTTGTTCACAAAGCTGCCTGTGCGATGAGTACCGTTAGCATGAGACAAAACTAGGTTGGAGGATGGGAGGAGAGTAGAGTGAGAGATGCTTCTTTGCTGCTGGTGGAGCTTGAGCTGCTCCTTCCACCTGCAGCCCCAGCCAGCTCCACTCCTCTCCCCTGCCAGCCTGGGCATCTCTGGCCACGATCTCTCCAAGGCAGAGCAAGATGGTGCCAAGTGACCCAAGGCAGGCATTAAGCCATTTTTCGCCCAGTTAATCCAAGTGTGAAGGTTCAGGCTGACAAAGGAGCTGGGCTTTGGAAGGGGTTTGTTTAGGCCAACAGTTGGGTACCCACAGCTCAGGAGGTGATAGAGAAGCCAGTGGGAATCAGATGCCTTGGCACCTCTGAAAATACTGATGGGGTCCACATGTCCCACTACAAAAAGTACAGTCACCGACACATAGCTTCTGGTCTGTGGGTGTAAATCTGCAGAGGAAGGGCAACTCTAACATTGACCAGAACTAGGAAATAGGTGCAGAGGTGCTCCCTGGTTTACAGCCTGCTTCAGATTATAAATCTTGATGTTTCATTCTCCATACAAGGATTGACTGTTTGTGCTTTTTCCTTTCCACTGGGAAAACACTGCAGAGAGGCTGGAGTGAAGGAACTTGGCAAGCCTGGTGTTTTGTATGGCTCACCTTAGTTTCTGGCTTTGTAGGTTTTTAATTAATTTATTCTGATGGTGTGTGAAGCTGGCTTGATGTTAGGTGATGGCCCCTGAAACTTTACATGCTTTTGCTGCCTATTTTGGAGAATTTCAAAGATCTTCACAAGCTTGCACAGCTCTTAATGGCCGGAGGTGATTGTCCTGCTACTCGCTGATGGATGGCCTTCAGGTTCCCCCATGTGGAGCCATCGAAATAAAACTCCCAAGTTCACCCATTAACCCTGCTTAGGGGTGGACAGAGGCTACTCTTAAGGCATTGCAGAAGCTGATGTTTCTTTCTGTACAAATCATGCATTTGACAGCTCTGAAGGGAGATGTGGCACCTTCATTTCCCACAGTTACTCGGTAGAATTGACTTGGTATTTTCATCGCAAGGATGTAGTTGATGTGCAACTGCCAAAAAACCCACTACATTTTAGTGCTGTTGTAGTCAGTGCTGTCCTGAGGCAGGCTCTGGGGGTGTCTTCTGAAGATGTCAGGCTTTATTTTCTGCAGCATGTACTCTTAGAGGAGCAGGGGGTTTGTTTTGATGAGCAGAAGCATGCAGTTCTTACCCCCCTGTGAAAGACATTCCCCCAGAAGATGCCCACCATTCCCTCCAGCTGGACGTCACTGCAGGTTATTTTTAGCTGGGTTTGGTTTTAGTTTCAGATAAACAGATCTTGGGAGCCACTCCTCCCATCTCACAAGCCAAACCTCTTTTGGATTAATTTGCCTTGGTGTGGGTGATGGATGTGAAGGTGTGTGCTGACAGCTGCAGGTGCTAATCCCAGAGGAGTCCCAGAGTATGGAAAAGTAGATGAGCACCGCAGCATCTGTGGGGGAGCAGCTGGGGAAGCCCCCAGGGATGTGGGAAGAAAGAGCTGACTCACTCAAAAGTGCCGTTTTGGGCAAGACTGGCTTACTTGTAGTAGCAATGTTGGCAGCTTTCTCATCTCCTGAAATGTGTTGCTTTTGCACAAAGGCAGCTTCTGTTTCTTCCACGTTGCCTGTCCCAGGTGGGATTTGTTGCTCCTGCCTGCAGGATGACTTTTCTGCCTTCTGTTCAATTTGTTCATTCAGATGGGCTTGAAATTCGTCTTAGGGGCTCATTACCCAGAAGACGAGTCTCACTGCTAAATGGGAACATTCATGTGTTGAATGCTGAAGATGATGTACAGTGTTTCCAGGAATTGTCTCAAAGTGCATGTATACTTAAAAGATACCTTACAAAGCAATGCATCTAAGATGATCATTGCACCTACTTGTTTCTTTCTTGACAGACGAATTGAAATTTGCTCGCATTTTTAGTACATTGCCATTTCCATTTTTCAGCTTTGACCCAACGTGTAGTAGGGGCAGATGGTACAGATCTCCCGTACACACTCTGCAACCTGGATGGGAATGGTTGGTGCCAGGGAGCTGCAGTGGCATGGCTGACTGCTCGCCACCATTCCGGGGGCTGAAAAAGCTGCCCCCCCATCTCCCTTGCCCAGAAAACAGCTTCCCGCTTGCACAGAGAGGGGATTTGCATGAGGACTCAGCTACTGTCAGATTCTGGGGTTGGCTGTTTTTTCATGTATGATGTGAACCTGAAAGGGAGCTGAGCAGTTGCAACCACCTTCTGAGCTATTTTAGAAATTCGTAGTCACTGGAAAAGGCTGCAGCTGAAGCATGAGTGACCAGTTCCACACAGCAGTAAATAAAATGCCAATATGTTTGCTAAGAGATTAGTGTGAGCGTGGCTGCTGGTAAATTCTCTGAACACATCAAAGAGCCTTATTGTTGCACTCGGGTTTTAATTCCTTATTAGTTTCAGGAAATACATGTCCTCAGAGCAATGAGAGGAAACTTTGAACGTTTTTCTTCCTCTTGTGCTGGGTGTGGACTTGGTACTGCCTAATTGTTAGTCTGTCTGATGCCTGTACTCCCATAGGAAGCAAGAACAGACCCATTTACATTTGTGTCGTTGCTGTGTGCTTTCAAATACGTGGCCTACTCATTTTTTTTCTTTCTCTTTTTTAATTTTAAGATCAAAGGTGACAAGAATAGCGGAGCAGAGAACTTAAGAATGATGCAGAGAACACAGATGTGAAGAACAAAGGAGAGAGGAAGGAGCTGAGCCTGGTGCAGAGAGGGAGAGGAGAAGAAGCAGCCTAAATGCAAGTACTTGAACATGGAAATGATGGGTTGCAGGCTGCTTAATAGGAGTTTAATGTGGTGCTTTAATCTGCATCTAGTGTCGGTTGGCACTTTCAGAGTGGTGCCTGAGATAGATTAATGTTTTTAAAATTTTCTGCCTTGAGTTCAAGACTTTGGTCTCTTGTGTCAATAATTTACAGCTCTAAACAGGGAAGTGGCATCAGGGTCACGTGTGAGAGAGAGAGGGAAAGAAAAAGTGAAGTCCGTTTGAGTCTTAATAATATGGTGTGGTGTGGTGCAGCTGAGGAGACTGTGAAGCACTCACTTCCTAGCTAAGCAGCATCAAAATGTAAAATAGCAGCTAAAAAATCAGTGACTGGGTTGATCAGAGAAAGCTGGAGGGAGAGGGTCAAACTACTCAGCCAGAACCAAAGTGGTCTGATGAATTCCTGTGATGTAAAATGTATTTTTCATAATTTTAGTGAAGTTTATGGGACAGAAACAGCCTTTTGAAACTACTCTCTTCAGCAGGTGGATGATTTTAGCTAGTACAGTGATGCCTCCTGCATGTGAATTTTTTTGGTTACATTTTTTTTTCTGGGCAAAAAAAGGTCTTGTGCAAATGCAAGTACGTGGGCCAAAAAGAGGTCTCTTCAGGAGCATAATTGTTCTTCTTTGTGACCTCTGGTATCCCGCCTGTATCATCAGACAAGCTTTTGCCAATATAATGTGTCTTCTTCAGGTGAAGTCTTTCCTAATCCAGGTGTACCAGAAGAGTGTTTTCTGCCTTAGAGAAGGCTTTTTCATCTCAGTTGCTGTTAGGGCAGACTTCTGCACTGATCCAAAGTCACTCTTACATTTCTAATTGTGTAATGCCTGCAAAGCTTTAATAAGTCTGTAGTGTGCAGAGATGGGGAGCTGCCTGGGAGTTGTGCCTGGAAAGCAAGTAACTTTGCCCCTTGTTCCCTGCAGCTCTTTCCCGGGCAGGTGACAATGCCTGTCGAAAGGATGCGGATGCGCCCCTGGCTGGAAGAGCAAATCAACTCTAACACGATACCGGGGCTGAAATGGCTAAATAAGGTAAAGGGGGTGCATGCACACACATAGTGGGGTGGGGTGGGGGAGAGCGACTTTATAGCAGTGCCTGAGGTCTGAGGTTCGGGTAGGTAAATCATCTAATTCCTGGTTTTCAAAGGGGTGACATGGGGAGGAAAGGCAAAGCTGAACTCTTCCCGCTGACCCTGTTCCTCTGGCCTCGCCTGCCAGATCTGAGACGCCCTGCTTTGGCCTGATGGATTTGTGGCTCATTTGAAAGCATTTTCCAACTCTTTGTTGTTGGAGCAAGCATTTCTGGAGACTCTGCTGAGGTGTTTTTTTTTAAGCTGGGAGCAGATTGCTCACCAAGTAGCATCAGAGGGATGTGAATAAAATTCTCTCCTGAGGTGGAGGGCTATATTCTGTGTTAGACTCTGGGTTGAAGCAACAATATCTTTCAGACTTGCTTGACCTCTCTGATAATTATCAACCTGGGAGAAAATGGGGTAACTTTTCCCGTGCCAGATCCAAACCTAATATTCCTTGTCCTGAGCTCTTACTGAGAGTTCTAGGCACTTGGAGAGAATAAGCGTGGGCTCCAAAATGTCAGCAACCAATCTGATTTTTTTTTTAATTGGCTTAATAAAACCAAGGAGTGCATTTGAGACTTTGAACAGTAATAAACCCCAGAAATATTGCATGCATTCTGCAGTAGCAGAAGAGTAATTCACCACACTGAAACGCGTGAAGCAGTTTTGGCTGCAGAGGCTACTTTATTATCAAAATGGATGGAAATGCACGAAATCAGGTGCAGAAACATAGGAGGTGCCACTGTGGTTAAGACACTAATCCAGTTACACTGGTATTCTCCCTACAGGAGTAGTTGTGGTGCTCAGGTGTTCATTTTTAGAGATGAAGAATGGCAATTAAGATGACAATTTTTTATTTAATCTTTCAAAGCTAGAAGTCCTCGTGACTATAAAATTATCATGAGCCCTTTAAATTTCATCTGCAAATTGTTTCTCAGGAACTTCCTGCATCAGTGACTCTCACATGCTATGGCTGCGTAAATAAATATTGCTTTATCCATTCCCTAGCTAGCTGCCCTGTGAATTTGAGTAGGTCCTTGTTCTTGCATTATAGGGTCACAGCTGAAGAGGAGGAAGAGACTAGATTTTACTGTTGTCTTTGTAATTTGAGTCCCACATTCAGGTCCCTACGGATTCTTCTCCTTGAGTATCTCTATTTTGGCGTCAGGTCTCTCCTGCTGACAGTCCATCTCTGCTGTCCTTTGCTGGGCATTCCGTCCTTTGCTGGTCATTCCTGCCCGATCCTGAAATAAGTAGGGCACAGTATTTTAGGTTTGAGCACATTACTCTTAATGTACAGATGACAACATCATATTTATGTTCATGTAGCCTTTTTTGGTACACTCCAGGAATGTACTTGCCTCCTTTGCTCTGCAGTATGAAGATGCTGACACTGTGCTAAGGGCTTAATTCTTCCAAGTTCAGCCCACCAGCCCATAAAGGCAGTTTGCAAGGCATGTCCTGTTGTTTAATGTTTGCAGCTCTCTGATTGTCTTATTACAGGGGCTATTGCCTTGTGCTTCTGGTGGAAACTTGTTTGTATGCAAGAGCTGGTAGGAGCTTTTGTCCTTAGTTAGCATATTCTGTGTTGACCAAGGCTTGTCTCACAAATAAAGTATTTTTGATTTTTTTTCCTAAAACAAAGCCCTGGCTCCTACTAGGAGGAGGATATCAGGCTGAGTGGCCTGTCTTGAGGCTTATTAAACTCTGATTCTCCACTTCTACCCTCTGATTTAGCATCATTCTGGGTTGCCTTCATTGTGCTCAGCAAGCTAATTGCACTTCTGAACATTTCTGCTTAAAAATGTAACCATTCATTACAACAATGAATCATTAAACCAAAAATATTTATATTTTTTACTGTAAATCCTGGCCATAAGCAAAGCCATGCATGGAATCAATGATACAGTGTCATGTGTATCACAGCCCATTCTGTACCCACAGAACTGACTCTAGTCTGTAGGATTTCAGGATTTGATATTTCAATCGGTTTGGCAAAGGACAGTTCACGGTACAGAAAAGAAGGTGGGTCACATTAGCAAGAGAATGGCACTCGTGTGTGTGCACAGCTTTTAAGGAAATAAGATTTAAATGCTAAGAAAATGAATACCATTCAGGGTTTGCCATTGGCTGTCTCTTCTTGGGGAATTTTTCCAGACTCAGAAAGCAATGAAACCTCTCTCAGTTAAAAACGTCACATCAGGTACCAGCTGACTTACCAAATTGCTTCCCATACTATCAGTTGATCACATTATACCTCCTGCTTTGTTTTCCCCTCCAGAACAGACCCCTCTCTATAGGGCTTAAAAAATACATGGTTGTGTACCTCCCTGGTGAAAATGTTATTCTGCTGAATGGCATGAGGGAGGAAGGGAATTTCTTTACCTTCCCAGAGAGACAAAACTGGGAGGTGTGAAGGAAATTACATAGTTCAGTAGAGGGCAGAGGTGGTGTGAGGAGAGGGATACTGAGAGGTCAGTGTCCCCCATGAATCTGGAAAAGGAAGTTAGAGTGGAAACACTCAGAGTAGCTGTAACAGGAGTCGAGAGGCAAACTGCTGCTTTGATGGATGCTTGGACTATTACCATCCAGATGGATGCTGCTATTTAAAATTTGTCTATGACTTTCTAGCTAGTATGTGAGCTCATGCTCATTCACCTGCTTGGAGCATCTTGCAATGCTAGGGTTGCAAGCACTCCATACTATTTTCCTCCTCCTGACTGTTTCTAATAATGTGACACCTTTTCCCTTTTGATGTTCCTACCGGAGTTTGATAGTAATTCCTGTTACGCTGCAGAAGTTTTGTGGGTTGTGCTTTTGACTTTAGCTGAGGCTAATTTTTTGATAGAAACAGAAGCGTCCTACACAAATGTCCAGGGTTGGAATGGTGTATCAGACAGCACATGGTTTTCCAAGTTTGAGAGTAATCGCTGATAAGCTTTTTCCTATTAAGATAATTATTAGGAAGCAGGATACAGGTAAACACTTGACAATGTGCAAAATAAAAAATTAGTACTTAAATGAAAAGCATCTAGGTAAACTAGAGCAGAACATGCAACCACTTAGTATTGCTGCAATAAGCAGTCTTGCAGCATTTCAGAGAAGATTAGATATTTGATAGTTGATGAGAAAATCTGTAGTTCCTATATAGGTATGTAAAATTATGTATTATAAAGTTATAATACACTGGATTCTATGATTTTGTTATTTGTATTATAATTTGCTATAAGTCTGTGTGCTTCAAGACATCTGGGATTGCGAAGAACGTTCTGTAATGAAGAGAGGCACTGTAATGAACACTTAGACTGCTGTTGAGAGTGTCCTTGAAGCAGTGAGTATGGTTGATGATGACAGGATGCTTGTCTGGAGTCTTGTTCACTCTGCTAGTTTCTATAGAACGTTTTGAATTGTCATGCAGAATATTAAATCCATGGTATAACCTCTGCAGCATTGTGTAACGTTGTTCAAACCTCCCCCCATCACCAGGCATGAGAAGACTTTTTAATCTGGTCAATTGTTAAAGTTCTTATTGATAGAAATGGTTTTCTATGGGAGTATGAATTTTTTTCCATGCTCGTTATAGTCTATGGGAGGGTAAAGGCAAGGAAGCTTATTCTAGCTCTGATAAATACAGTGGTGCTGTGGACCACAGGATAGTGGGGTTAGGGCTTTCTTTAGGCCACTTCTACTTGGGAAAGAGGCAAGCATCTCTGTAAGATGATTTAACTGTATAGAAGGGGAAGAGTAAAGAGGCAAAAGGCACATGAGAGAAGTGTTGGGAATAGATTAGGAGGAAAACTGAGAGTGTGAGGGCTTGAAGGGGAATGAGGAATGTGTTAAATCTGTGCTTTCACCAAATTAAAGAAAAGTTGAAGCCAAGCAAGAAGGGAAGAACACAGTTCTGAACAAGAGAATGTAAATGAAAGGACTGAAGACAAGAGTTGAAGTACTATACAAAAGACAGGCTTAAAAAAGAAAAGATCACATGGAAAGGAGGGAAAATAAACCTAACCTTGACATTAGTCAAATATTAACCAGACCGACAAGGAAGAAGAGTGGTTGTTGGAGAAAGGGGAAAGGGCAAAGGATTAATCTCACCCGACCAGAGACCTCTACAATGCAGTCATTTAGATGAGAGCTGCCTGTCTAGAGTTGTTTGTAGTCAGTGGAGAGAAATAGGCTCTTCTAGGGTGCAGTTCAGTTGGCATGGCTCAGGTGGCCTCCTTGGGAGAGGGTCCATTTTGCCCTGGAAATGCTTTTCTCTTCGCAGGCTGAGAAGTGGATCTAAACCTGTAGTGGCAGTGCTTATAGCGCGAGATGTCTGTGTGTGAAGCCAGATAAGATGCATTCCATTAGTTTTTCTGATCCTTTGGGAATCAGTTTATACTTCCACCACATGAGGCATGCCCTGGTTTAACTACATGTTGTGTGTTAAAAAATTAATTTAAAAAAACCCCTTCCTTTTGGTTGCTTTAAATGCACTTCTCTTTGCCCTAAAGTTTCTAAACTAAAATGCATTCAACTATCTTCAATGCTACCCCTTCACATGGGTGTCTGGTATTTTTTATCCCCACTGGAGAGATGTCTACAGTTGATATATTTGTATGTTTGTTTGCTTGGCCTATGAATTTGAGAGATCCCTTTCCTTCACTGTGCTAGTACTTTATTGCCTGAATTCTAAATCCTTGGAATTTGCTGTGTTCCTATGGTTGTTTAGTTTCATATTTAATTTTTCTAATCATAGAAGTGTCTGTGCTGCCAAACTAGCCTTTGTTTGAATGTTTTGAAATGTTTAGCACTGCATGTTTTATCCATGTGTCAGCTTGAAGGGCTGCCAGGCTCAGGCTCATCATCTGCGAAGGGGCATCTGAGTATTTCATATACTTAGGGCTGTATTCTGCTTTTAGGTGATGCCAGTGGATATTTTCCTATTGAGTTCAGTGACAGCAGCACTGGGTTAGAAGGAAGCAAAACACTTGCAGATGCTGGAACTGTGTTTTTGAATAAGTGACTTCAAGTCACCGGAAGATCTCTCAAGTCAACCAGTTTTGGCATTTCCTGTTTGTTTTCCCTTCCAGGAGAAGAAGATTTTTCAGATTCCCTGGATGCATGCCGCAAGACATGGGTGGGATGTTGAAAAAGATGCTCCTTTATTTAGAAACTGGGCAATTCACACAGGTATTGGAACTGTCCTTCTGCGGGACAGATTTTCACACTGTTTTCCATTTTAAAGTTACATTTTCCTTCTTTCTTGTCTTTGCTTTTACTAACACAGAGAGTGAATTTAAATTTCTAGATTAGTGGGAGGTTGAGTGCTTTTTTTCAAGATCTGCGATACTCACCAGCTTTATTGAGGTGCCGTAACTCGTTTGCATTGAGAAACACGGTAAAACTTTTTTTTTTTTAAGCATTAACAAGATCAGGTTCAAAATTGTGAGGAGTAGAGCATGCTCAGCACTTTGTAAACTTGGGTCCTTAGGCTTTTTATGCCTTTTTGCGGATTTGAGCCAGATGTAATAAAGGTAAATGCTGTGCAAGCTTTTCCATGTTGTTGTGGAGTCTCATCTGATCTGCAGTGCCCTGGGTCTTTCTTGAGCAGAAAGCGTTCATCAGATGATCTAGAAATGTGCATGGGAATGAGATCACAGCACTCTCCATTGCAACCTCAGCTATTGTTTGAATGCTTGTCGTGGGAACCGAAGGCTGATACCTGGAAGTTAACCTACGCTGTTATTAATTCACCTTAGGTTTTCAGTTACACGTCGTGTGTGCCTAACTTTCTTTTCTTGCTTAGGAAAATACCAGTCAGGAGTAGATAAACCTGATCCAAAGACATGGAAGGCAAACTTCCGTTGTGCTATGAACTCTCTGCCTGACATAGAAGAAGTGAAGGACAAAAGTATAAAGAAAGGAAACAATGCCTTCAGGGTGTATCGGATGCTTCCATTATCTGAAAGACCCTCCAAAAAAGGTAGAGGAGAGAACGTTTCAACATGAAAATAGTATTGGGGGCATTGTTATTATTTTGGGGCCCACAAAATGTGCCGGTTCTACTTCTCTTGCTGTGAAGCTGGATGTTTCTATCCAGATGTTCCCCAGATCGTAGGAACATCTGTGTAAAAAAATGGGTTACATTAAGTTAAGAGTACAAGCTGCTTGGAGGGAGGATCACCAAGATGTGAAAACCCCAGGCCGGTGATCTGTGTAAATTGTGTTAGATCTGTTAAAGCCAATGGAGTTATTTCAGATCCTAGTCCCAGGTGCCTTGCTTGTTTAAGTTCTGGGAATGCAGTAACAAATGGCCAAAGTTTCGTACAGGACAGTGATACAGCATGAACAGCTGAAGACTTGCAGAGTGATGAACACCTTGACTTGAATCAGGAAAAAATGTTTCCCAAAGGAGTCATTAATGAGAGTGCTGAGTTAAAGCACAGGTTCAGGAAGTTGTGAATACTATGAAAGAGAGCATTTATACATTTCTCTGTGGCACCACTTCTAAAATCACAGTCCCCTTGAGGTATCCTCGTGACTGAAGGCAGCATAAATCCGTATGTGTTTATTCCCTGCCTCTCACAAAAGAACTGAGTGTCCTTCAGTCAAAGAAGATGATTAGGGGGATATTAGAGATCAGTACATTTAATTCAGTAGGGCTGATTCAGGATATGGTGGCAGTGCACTCTCTGCTCACAACATTAAACTGTCAAACCACTTCATTAGTTGCGTAGCTACACTAGGCCGTGAAAAACCAGCCCCCACAGCATGATAGTGGTGAAATGGGAAGCTGTGTTTAAATTGCCAAATTTAGGGATTAGGTCTCCCACATGGCAGGAGAGGACCTAACCACCAGGTCAATCTAATGAGTATTTGGTTTCTTATGGAGTGGAAACATTGGCTTCCTTATGGCTTCATTACTATGGAGCAGAACAATGGCTTCCTTAGTCCTATGATATCCTCTGATGTCTAGGATTTTTGGATGAAAAGATAACCTGCAATCCAGACGCATGGTGTTCCTCTAAAGTACGGTACAGTTCACCTGTAGTTCAGTTTGCTGTTTTCTTAAATTGAGAAGTAAAAGGCACATCTTCAATTTAAAGTCAGTGTGATTGGAAATGATGAACCCTCATTTTTGGGACAGAATCATAACATGAAAGGAAGATCAGTATGCAAAAGTAGAACATCTGCTTTGAAACTGTTTCCGATCTCATCTGTGGTGTATTTTGCACCTCCAGGCATATTTCCCTGTCTCATTGTGGTAGATTCCTCTCATAGCTGTAAGAACTAGAAAAGCTGATAATGAAAGTTGAGATTCTGGAGATGGGGGCTGTAGCAGTAGAAGATTCTGTAGCAAGTCCAGTTACTATAAAGCTCTTGATATATTTTGGACCCTTTATATGTTCTCACATGCCCTTTCTACATGGCACATGCTAAATTTATGTGTGAGCGAGAGCAAAAGAATTTGTCTGCAAACATTTCTAATTCTAAGTACTATCTTGTAGTAGAGATGGCAGAAATTCCTGGGACACGTCTGTGCAAACAGTGGGGTAGAGCTGAGCTGCACCAGCAAGTCTGAGCTTCCACATCGTGGTCTGGTCAGATCAGAGCAGGGGCAACAATGCTGGGGTCTGCCAAGGCACATGAGATTTTGTGAGGGTCATATGCTATGGGGTTTTCTGGATTCTCAAATTCAGCATGATTGCATAAGCCACTTTTACATGAATTATAATATATATTCCCCCCACCTCCTCCACAGGTTGCAACTATTTACAAAAATATTTGTTGAAGCTTCTTGTGATCTCTCTTCACATCTTAAATCAACAAACAATCTCTCTTTTCCTGTGGCTATAATGAGAGTGTCACAGATGTGATGAGACATGTTTTGATTTTTTCCCTTTAAGAGTAGTTTTGTCCTCCTTCCTTCTTTTTTCAACAGGCCTTATTGCTTAGTTTGTTACTTCCATATTTTTAACCTTGATTTTTTGGCTGCAATTGCTTTCCTCAGTCCCATCGTAGTTTTTTTTTTTTTTGTAGCACTTTAAAAATTAAATACAAAGCCGAAGTGTTAAAGGTGAATTTTTGACTGCGCAGGCCTTAAGGAGGATTTAAAATTAAGCAAAATGTGTTCTCCCTTTCCTATTAGGTCCTGCCATTTTGAGGCTCGTTTGGGGTCTATTTCTTAGTGAATATAGAGGGTGTTGAGGATAACTCATGGCCCACAAGACTTTTAAGAAATCTTCCTTCTGTTGTTGCAGGAAAAAAAACGAAGTCTGAGAAGGATGACAAATTCAAACAAATTAAGGTAAGAAGTGGCTGTTTAATAGTGCAAGAGCTTGTGAAAATAATCTGTTGCAATTTTTTTTAATAGCCCCAATAGTATATTGTGGTGGATATTTGCAAATCTCTCATGCTTGTGGTTTGGTTACGTAGCTATAGTTATGTTGGATGTTTGGGGTTTTTTTTTAAAAACATGAAGGCTGTTAGAGCCATGATTGACGTCATCAGTTGACACAGCCCTTGTGCTGCAACGCCTGGAGGTTGGAAAACTGGCAGCCTCGGCAATACATTTGCCATTTGTTTGTCTGTGTAAGTAGAAATACAGTAATTACGGAAGGAATGCTTCCGAACAATAGAGCTACCTTTTGGAACAATTAATTTATGTGCGTAAGGCATTGGAAATTCATTTTCGTTCAGGCAAGGGAGGCAAGTTTTGTCAGAGCTGCATGTTCTGCTTATAGTTTGTAAGTCAGAAGACCTCAGTTCTAAAGCTCATCAGTCGCTGTGGGAGATTTCTGCCTGTTCAGAGCGCAGACCCAAACTGCTGTCCCTACAAAGCATGGTGTTTCCTAGCTTGCCCACTTGTGCCAAGTACCTCTTTGGGTGGTCAGTATTACTGACCAGCAGGGTTTGGTCTGCCTTCAGTTTTTTCAAAAAGCAAATAAAAGGTTTCTGGCTTTCAGTCTTCAGTAAAGTCAGTGTCCTTGGGTCGCACGTAGCAGCCGCATCTGCAGCAGCAGGGCAGCTCAGTCTCCTGCTGCTCACTTGTGCAGGGCTGTGCCATCCACATCTGGGCACAAGTCCTGCACCTACTGGCCAGGAGATGCTCTGGGCCAGGTGAACCCAGAGGCCTGTGAAGACTCCTCCATTGAAATCAGGTTTGGAAGGCAGACGCTCTCCCAGCAGCTGTGACTTGTGGAGTTACATGTGAGAATACTACGATTTTTACATTGTCTTAAAGGAACCACTTTTTAACCATCGTATCTGCATCACACAGCCACATGTGCTTGTTATAATGTGAGTCTGACGGTAGCCTGTGTTGAGAGGGAGCCAGGAATCTCCTTTGGTCAGAGCAGAGCAGTGTGTGATGCCTGCCAAAGCTGACAGCAGCACTTTGCAATTCCTCTCCTTTGTAATCTTTCTTTTAGTCAAAATATTAAATGCCAGAAAAGCTGTAGAGGCACTTGAACAATCCCATCCTCTGTTAGGATTAATCTCACAAATAGTCATTGCTCAGGAAGCTCTGGTGATGCCTGGGAGATTAGTATATGACGTGAGACCTGGGAGTAGGTGCCAGTGGGGGGATGCTGGGAGCTTTTGGGACCACTTTCTTCCAGCTCACTTGCCCTGAGCTGCACAGAAGTGTTAGGGCAGGCGACGCAGGAGCAGTGAGCTGAGCTGGCCATGCCTCCAGCACAGGCACCTACCAGCGATACCTACTACGACCATATGGCTCACCAGCCACCAACTATGGTACGGCCACTTAGCTCTTGTAGGCTTTGAGCTGGGACGAGGTAGGATTCCTGTCTGTTCCCCCTTATTCTCACAAATGCGTACATGAGCTGGCATCCAGATATGCCTGGATTTTAAAACCGGTGTTCTTTCCATGCTCAGCTACTGTTCAACTTACTATTGAATGTTGGAGGCAATAATAGCGGAGAAGGGTGGTGGATGAATTAATGCAAATGCAGATTTGTGAGCATTGAAAGCTGCTTGTAATTGCTTTGCTCAGTGATGTGAATTCCTGAGATCTGAGTTGCATATTTCGCACTGAGCGTCTTGCAGTTACCCTGAAAACCTCTCTTTAGGGGGGAGGTGAGTGGGAGGCTGCTGCACAGCCTGCCTGGTAATGGTAATGGGGTAATATCAGCAGAGGGCGAAGCTGAGGATCCCAGCGGAGATCTGCGTAGTGAGTCTCACATTGAGCTCTACTCTGTTGCCACTGACAGACTCTGTGGGTACCCACAGCAACTGCTGGTGGGGGTGAAGAGTGCTGACAAACCTTGCTGAGCTTGAGCAGGGTGCTCAGGGCACTTCCCTGCCTATCCCCATGGATGTGAGAGACTTGGGCCTTACCAAATTCCTGCTCCCTGCCGGTTGTCACAACTGGTGCAGCTCATCAAAGACCTAGTTGCCATTAGTACTAACTGCACTCTTCTGATGTGCGGGGAGGCCTTGGGGCAGGATGCATGTTTGCCTTGCTTAATGGCTGGGAGGGTGGAGACTGGTGTTGAAGTGACAGCTTTTTTTGAGTTTTTTTTTTGCTGAAATGCTTTGGAGCAGAGAAAATGGGCAGGGCGTTGCATCAAATCCAATTGGGAGCTTTGCACCTGTCTGTGAGTGTCTCTGGATCAGCAGCAAGGCAGAACTTCCCATGATGGGCTGGCACTGCCAGTTCAGGGCAAGAGCAGAAGACCTTAGACTTTGTAACCAGTAACCCTGTAATGGAGCCAATACCAGGGAGGAGGTTGGGCCTGTAGATAATCCTTTAAATGCATTCATGGCTTTTTAAAGAAATCATGAGTTTATGGAATTAAACTTCTTGGTGACTATTCTGAAGGGAACTTTTTAGATTCCCACTCAAGTGTACCAGACCTACAGATACGCATCTTGTGGAAAGCTCGGTCTATGTAGAACAGGTGGTGTTTTCCCAACACTATTGCCCTGTGGTAATGTTTATGATGTGATCTAAAAGGCTATGTTTAGTGTAAACACTTTTATTTGCTTTCAGGCTTGCTGCAGAGAAAAATTAAGGCTAGAATTTAGTAATTGTTGTACAGAAGCTGGGGCTTCCTTTCAGAGAGCACTAAGAGATACACCATGTTTGGAAGGGAATGAGGATGAATATTAAGTAGAATACCATTTTAAAGCAGTGTTTCATCCTTGTTTGTTCCAAGTGTTAATCTCTTGTAGTAACTAGCTTACTAATTTCTTGCCCTCTGAAGGCTCCCTCTAAGTCTGTAAATTAGAAATAGCTTTTGTTTCCAGGCAGAAAGCAAACTCGAGAACTGAAATATTCAAAGACCATGTCTAGCAGAGATCAGGGAGTATATGGCAGGCAGAAGTGATACGAGTTATTACCATCTCAGAACAAAGAAGTGAACTGAGTCCAGGCTCCTAAAGTAAATCAAACCTGACCCAACTGTGCTGTTTTCATTCTAGCAAGAGCCAGTTGAATCATCTTTTGGGATTAATGGGCTAAATGATGTTACTTCTGACTATTTCCTGTCCTCCAGCATAAAAAATGAAGTGGACAGTACAGTGAACTTTGTAGGTAAGTACTCCTATGCTTTTCTTGTATGCTAAGCATACAGGGGGCTTCAGAAACTCTTTTGACTCTGCTAAACTCAGCTTTCCATCAGCATTTTGCACTTTGGAGAACACCATGGTTACAATCAGGTCAACATATTTGTCACAAGACCAAGCCATTCCCAACCAGGTTCTGGTTGCAAGTTAGCCCCACCACCTTGCAGAGACAGCGAGCAGCGCTGTGGCAGCGTGGTAGTTCCCCTGATAGTACTTACAGACACGCTCAGGTGCCCTTGCCTGATATGAACTTACTCCACAGGGTAGTCCTCAGCTATGAGGAGACTGTAGCCATTGTCATGTGGGAGTTAAACTGCAGTTGGATGACGGTCTCCCATTGCTCAAAGCAGAGGTTTGTATAGGGTGTTTTATTTGGGAGTTTAAACCTGCAGATGAAATAGACATGCTTGGTTCTTTTTACTGGCACCTCAATAGCAGAGTTAGTTCTTAACATCACTGAGCTAACAACAAGGATCAGCGAAGACTGCATTTAGAAACTGTTACATTAGGAATTAGCTGTCATCTCAGCATGTGAATAATTGGTTCTCAGCAGAATAATTGGGCTGGTTTTTGACAACTCTTTTTTGGCAAAGGTTGTCACTGCAGTGAGGGCTCTTAGAAATGTGACCCATATACCTTTTTCTCTAGAATTCCACTGTTATACATGTCGGAAAAGTGTTTGAAAAACGTATTAGTCATCTGTTTGGAGAGATGGCAGAAATTATCTGCAGTGACTATTTTTGATGCCCATGTTTTTAGGTCACAGGGCTTTGCACAGTCATTCCCCTCAAGTACATCTGGGGCTAAGGAGCTTGTGAGTAGTTTTCCTCTCTTTGTGGCAGTTCATTCAGTCAGCTGTTGCTTGGTAAGAGTGTTAGAAAATGATGGTTGCTTCTGGTATTACAGAGGAGTTTATAACTTGAAGGAATCACACTGTAGTGGTATTAGTGCTTCCTGTTTACTGACTGACTGATATTGGCCAAGGCCAATATGCACTCTCAGGGAAGAAGCTTCATACACTTTAGCTTTATTTTACAGTCTAAAGTCAAACAGAGATTAATTAATAGCAGTCTTTGGAATGTACTTGGTGTTCCCCAAAATACATGAACATCAGACAGAGTAATTTTGGTGCAGACATCTCCGTTTTCTGCAGTACAGTGTATCCTGCTTTCTGTTTTGATTTTACGATGAGAGGAATGCATGTTGCAACTTAGTCTCAGTAATTTATAGCACAGGACGCATAGTGGCAACATCAACATCTAAGAATGCTCAAAGGTCTGTTGTGGAAACCAAGCAAGAAGTTCAGAGGAAAAGAACTGAATTTGCACCTGAAGGGCTTTCATTTTTCTCTGTACTCACAGAGTCCATTTTCAGGGGTAGGACAGCAAAGCTTGGATGGGTAACCGTCATCCAGTGTTGTTCAGTTAACGGTTTGTGAAGTGTGCTGCTTATCCAGACTGGAGAGAGAAGTCCTTAATTATTACTTCCGAGCAGGATTTTAACGTAAACAGGGGGGAAAGGGTAAAATAGATCTGTTCTGCAGAAAGGAGGGAAGTCAGCTGAAGGGTAGGAAAGACAGCACCTGCAGTGTTCCTGACATATGTGCAGCTCATGGGAAAGTGGTGGCATATTGCCCAAGGGAGTCGTAATTTTTGCTGTGCAAGTTATCTCTTGGGGTAGGTAAAAATTCGTCAGATATTGAGAAGAATGATAAAACACTGCAGATGGCCTGCTCATACCCTGGCAGGGTTGCACAATATTGGTTTCTCCCAGATAAAAATTAACTCTGTGTGTGCTTTTGCCCCCTGCGCCCCACTTAATAAAAAGCAGGTTGTTTCAGAACCAGGAAAGGTGTAAATAGAGTGGAAACATAGTATGTGGAACAAAATTGTAGTAATTGTAGTGTTTCAACTTCTAAAAAAACCACTATCCACTATTTATGTAATTTTCTTTATGCTGGAATTGTCTTATAAAATACTCATCAACCTTTGGGGTCTTTTCAGTGGTTACCTGGCACTTCACAAAGCAAAATGATACGCAGCTTTTCTCTAGGAGAAAAACCCATCATTTTCTTTTTCAAAAAGTCATGTTCTAGCCTTGTCTAGATGTAGAAGGCAGGCATGGATTGTGTATATATACATGCACATTCATGTATATTTATCTCAGTTCATCCAGGAATAGATGCCTTTTTAAAAATTAATAATTTTAATTATTAGATTAATTTTAATCTTTTGCCTTTTAAAAAATTAATAGTTAGAGTACTTAGCTCACTTAGCAGAAAAATTTCAAGATCTGCTGTGTTTCATTGCCTGCATTTGTTTCCCATCATGGGTCTAGAAAAAAATGTATTGTCTGAATTCCTACCAGCACAGCTCTGTGTTTGTACAGAATTTGTCTGTACAAAGATTGTTCCTTTTGAAGTTGTATTTTCCAGTGAAAGAACATCTATAGTCCTTCTTTTTGTCTTGAATAACTCTGGATTAAGGTTAGCCATCCTCTGAGGCAGCTCCATCGCCGTGTGCTCTTCAAGTCTAGCTTGTCGCTGTTAGTTCCATGCCAGATTAATGCAGTCAGCATGTGTTCATACTGCTGGGATCAATAGGGAAGTTGTACAAGACAGAGAGAATTGTCTCAAGCAGCTCCAGAGAAGTGAGATTCTGGCTTTCACCATAGTTTTCCTTTCCTTGGTAACTTCTTGGTACCACAGTTTATTCCCCTGTTTCAAAAGGGTGTTGTGTAGCACAATTAATGTCTGCAGAGCATTTCGGGACACTTGCAAAGCATCCAAGGTGCCTTCACTTTGTAGAAATAAATAATATTCCCCTGGTATTAAATAGCATGTGCCTGGGAGAACAGGAAAACCCTCTGTTAATAACTAACAAGCCTATAGCTTTCAGTCACAGACCATGGGGATTAGAGACTACAGGTACAACTGTGCTTTTCTACATACCATCACTGCCATTGCAAGGATCAGTGAGAATAAGCATCTAATTGGAGAAGAAATTTTTTCACAGATTCATGTCATGTATAAATCAGAGTCCCACCATGTTCTACATGACCATGTGGCCAGTTTTTTGCAAGCCAGTTCTGGTCTTCTGGTGTGTAATTTATGTGAGAGCATCCAGAGGCCGTGGGATGTTGTCAGCTTGCAGGGTGAGGATGCTTTCCCAGATCAGGAGAGATTGTTGTGGCCTTGGTGAGACCATGTTTCTGGGTGGAGGAAGAGTGTGGCTGTGGTCTTCTCTGGGAAAGCTTCTGGGCAGCTGTTATGTCAAGGAGGGCTCAGGGATGTTATGTGTGAGAATCAGGGGAGAATTAGGCATGTTCAGTCATCACAAGTGGGGAAAAAATGCCTCTGAAGGTGATGGAAACTAAATAAATCACACAAGTTTCCTTTGGAAGTCCCAGTGAAAGCACATGGTGGGCATGGAAGAAAGTGTTGAGACGGTACTAAGACTCACTCAAATACCAAGTAGGCTCCAAGGACAGGCTCTTAGAGACCCAGCGAGGTCGAGGTGTTACAAATAATAATTTTTTTTTTCTCACCCCAAGTTGTAGGACAGCCACACCTTGATGGCAGCAGCGAGGAGCAGGTGATAGTTGCCAATCCTCCTGATGTTTGCCAGGTAGTAGAGGTGACAACAGAAAGCGATGAACAACCTCTCAGCATGAGCCAGCTGTATCCCCTACAGATCTCCCCTGTCTCGTCCTATGCAGGTAAGCATCCTGGTGTTTCTTTACACTCCTTTTTTGGAAATGTTTGGAAGACACTGGGGGAAAGAGGGCTCTTCCAGGGTAGCTGGCAAAGGTCCAGAAGTGTCTGTACCACTGCCTTCTGCATTTTTAATGAAACTTAAAAACTCACAGTCCTCTTTACTCATTTCACCTTGGGAAACAACTTGGCAGATCTGAGGTTGGAAATTTAAGCTGCAATTTTTAGCCTGTGACTAATGGAAAAAGGACCTTTTTAGATGTAATGCAGAGAGGTCTTTTCATCTTTTATTGGAGGTGCATTTTCAGTGGTATAAATGATGTGCTGCAAATATAGTGTGTCCCCCTTATCCCCTGACCTACTAAAGGTTAAAGGTCTTCCCTGCTGTATATTTCCACAATGCCTAGCACAGTGATCACAGAGCGCTAAGGGCTGCACTAATTATATATAATGCAGACATGGAGCTGAAGCCCTGGAGGAGTGGATCTGTCCTGTTACAAATAGTCTGCAGACTAGAACAGCCGTGTAGTGACCGATAACAAGTGGTACTGCGAGCAGCAGAGTTGTGGACACCTAGCTTCTAACGCCTGCCTCCCATCTGGATTCTCTGATATCTAAAAAGGGGTGAGATAACAAGCTTTTACCCAAGTCAGGGTGCTACTGGTTTCTTGGTTTTTGTCTGGCCCCGTATTTTCATGAAAGTGGTAGGAAGTTGAGTCTTTGGCACTCATTTATCCCTTATCCAAGTCTGACAGTGTTTTCAGAAGTTGTTAGGGGAGAACAGACACAAATGCATATGTGGGCATGCTGTATAGAGTCCCTACAATCATAGAAGCCTTATTTCCGTAGGAAGCAGGGCAAAGCCACATTTGAAAGTAGAAAAAGTTTCAGATCCAACCTGTCCTTCCTTTTTTTAACATGTTGCTGACTTGCAGGCCTCAGGAGACTGGGTAGAAACATAAATCTAATCTTTTTAGGCAAACTTAAGTATTAATTGTTCCCCATGCAATTTTTTATTTTACATGTGTTTTTGCCTTTGACTCATTAGACTGAAATTAGTTCCAGACACATTTTTATAAAATATGTACTTAGGAAGTTTTATCTTTGGGTCTGGGTGAATAGTATGATGTTCTTTTGAATAGCCTCCAATGTTAGTCTCACACATGTTGATAAACGATCATGCTTCCCAATGTGTTTAGTCTGTAATGGCCAGAGCATTTAGAAGGGCTTTGCAAAGCGTAAGGCAGGGGGATGATGGTGCTTAACTTATTAGCAGCTGGGAGACAGGCCTTTGAAACATTTGTCCTCTTTCCAAATGCTTCTTGCAAAACTTTCCCCATCTATGTGAACACGACCATGATGCTTTTTTTTAACCTCAGCTACAGGATCTAAGTTCTTGGAATGCAAACAAAGGTCACTGTCTTCATCTGGAACTCATGATGGTTGCTTGGGCTAGGATCATAAAGAGGGCTGGTCTGGTGACAGGAGAACCACCCTGATGTGAGCAAGTCATGAGCTGCCTCTGCTAAAATGAATGCAACAAGCCTGTATAAGGAAAATGAGGCATGACTGAAGTACTTCTACTATCCCCTTGTATTGGCTTAGTATCCCTTTGGCCTTCAGCTGTCCTAACTTATACTAGGACCTGCTACCCATAACTCAGATAACACAGAGATTATTTCATGCCACTTGATGTGCTTTTGAATGCATCTCAAGGCATTCAAAATCATGATTCTTGATGATCCTGGTTACTCTAGCTAGAGGCCAGGAGGCAGTGGAGTACTGCAAGGGTCTGTCCTGGGACAAGTCCTATTTAATATATCAATGAGCAGAAGGGGTGTTGGAGTACACACTTGTGAAGTTTACAGGTGACACCAAAAAGGGGATACCAGTCAATACTGTTGAGGGCATGACCACCATCCAGAGAGACCTGGAGAGACTGCAGGAATGGGCCAGCAGAAACCCTCTGAAATTCAGCAAGCACAGATGCCAAGTTCTGTGGCAGGGAAGGAAGAGCCCTTTGCAGCAATAGAGGCTGGGGCTAATGGGATGGGGAGCAGCTCTGCAGAAAGGCAGGTGAGCAGTGAGCTGAATGTGATAGAGCAGAGCACCCTGGCCACAGAGAAGGCCACAAGCTTTCAGGACTATGGCCAGTAGATCTAGGCAAGTGATTATCCCCCTCTACTCAGCATTAGTTACATTACTTCAGGGGTATTGGGTACAGTCTTGAGCCCCTCAGTCAAGGGAAGATACAAACATATGGGAGTAAGTGCAGGGAAGGGCTATTAGGATGATTAAGGGCTGGAGCACTCACTCTGTGAAGAGATACTGGGGGACTGGGGCTTGTTCAGCCTGGAGAAGAAATGGCTTTGAGGACCTTGTAGCAGCCTAGCACTACCTGCAGGGATGTTATTGAGAAGGCAGAGCCAGGCTCTTCACAGCAGTGCGTGATGGGAGGATGAGAAACAGAAGGCATAAACTGAAACAAGAGAACTTGGTCTATCTGGATATAAGAAAAAATATCATATTTTTCACCACAGGGACAGTCAGGCAGTGGAGCAGGGTGCCCAGAAAAGTTGTGCTGCCTCCATCCTCAGGGTTTTTCAAGACCTGAATAGATAAGGCCCCAAGCAACCTGATCCAGTCCTGTAGCTGGCCCTGCTTTGAGCAAGAGGTTGGGCTATAGACCTCCTGAGGTCCTCTCCAGCCCAAATTGTTCCAGAAACCTCTTTTTTTTTTTTTTTTTTTTTTTCTTTTAAGGCATGCATTTGCCCTTGCGGCAGGAGTGAGGACAGGGATCTGTGGTTTGTTAGAACCCTGAAACTTGAAGGACACTCTTGTGACTATTTCTGGCTTTGTCTTTGCTCCACACAAACTTGTACAGGAGAACCACAGGAACCCCGACCCTGTGCTCATGGGTTTGCAGGGTAGAGCTGCGTACTCTGTCAGGTGCTACTGCTGAATGGCAGGAAAGAGTATGACCATAGCAGATGTGCAGGAACAGTTAGTTTAGCCCTTTTGAAACAACATCAACAACAAACAAGTAGCCTGAGATATCAGCTGTCCTACATAAATCTGTCTTATTTCAAAAACACCTCTAGTTCCTTTCTGATGTTACTCAGGCAAATGATAGGAGTGGCCCTTGTGAGTTTTCTCATATTTCCAGTGATGTCTATGAAGTGCATTTTTTTTTTCTTGTGCCAAGGCTGTTGTCTACCTCCTCTTGTGTTTGACACTGGTTCAAATAACCTTCTTGATTGAAATAGCCTCTCTAACTTTCCATGCCCAAGTGGCCAGCTTCCCTGGCTTTGCTAACTATAGTGCTATCACTTGCTCAGCATTTTGTTATGTATAAACACCAAGGATGGATTCCTTTTCAGCTGCATCACTCTTTTTTTGTTGCCACATATTTCTTCATCTCTAGCAATATCTGTTTCTTGTCTCTGTATGGGTTCCTCCTATTGATTCTATCTCTGGGGCCATTTCTCCTTTGCACAGATTATTTTCTGCCTCTCCCTCCCCCAGTATGGCTTAATTAGACAGCTTAATCACGTTGGCACATCTCTTTACCTGGGCCAGTGAATGGGAAGCGCTGCAGAGTGTTAACTTCACAGGGCTTTGCAGTTAGATTTAATGTTTCGGACTGCTCCTCTGCTTACTGCACGCTGCAGCAGAGGCTCTGGTGCAGGGGAGGTGCAGGTTTTGGAAGTTGTAACCTGGGGTAGCTGAGCTGCCTGCTTCCTTGCTTCAGAAGGACTTTGGGTGTAGCAGTTAGATCCTGGGGTCTGAAAGAGCAATTCAGGCCATTGGTTTACAGCACTCTGCCTAAACCTAGTGCTTAGCCCAACCTCAAGACAAGGGCAAGGTGCTGCCAGTCTCTCTGAAGACATGCAGGGGCATGATCCATGAGGCACAGGCCATACACCCTTTGCACTCGTGTTATGTCCAGTGCAGAGCATGAGGTTGCTCTCTGGGAAGGCAGGATGGTGATTTATGGTCGCAGGGGTGCAGGGGCTGTGCAAAGCAGTCTGCATGGGCTAAAATGCGTAACACAGAGCGGAGAGTGGAAATTGGACTTGAGAGCTCCCTTGCCTGCTGCAGTAACTGATCACATCATTCCTTCTGCCTTGTAATTTCTGTGTTCCCATTGGCTTAATGCGTGGATGAGGCCTATCTGCTCAGGCCTGGTGGCAGGGTTGAAGAAAGACCTTTTCCAAATGCTGTTGGTAGCCTGGTAGATGCCTAGGGTTATCCTCCCAGGAAACAGGACACAGTGGTTCAAAACCCCACGAGCTGAAGGGGACTTGCAATCCAGCCCTCTGCTTTTCTGGATGAGGGTCTGGGCACCAGGTGGGTGTGCTGAAGGTAGCAGCCGTTGCCGGAGACCGGTTCTGAGAAGAGGGGTTTGTGCCTCATCAGATGTATCTGAGGCACAGCACTCTTAACCAGTCCACGGGCCAGGAGCCTGACCCTCAGACACTGGGACTGGGGGACCCGTGTTCAGACGTACGTGGGCTTGAAAATACAGTCAAAATGCCTGGATTTCAGGCTCTTCTGCAAGGGAGGAATGCAGCTGCAGGAGGATGGCCATCTTGCTGGAGCTGCACCCCTGTGTTTGCACTCTGGCTGGAGTGATGAGGGTGAGGGAGGCCATGTGCAGTGGAGATAGCAGGAATTCTGTGTGCTGGAGTGGTGGGTGAAGGGTCTAGAAATAGGCTGGCAGAGAAGCTGGGCACGGGTGGCAAAAGCGAAACGAGAGCAAAGTGTAACAACAGTAGTAAAGCTCCAGAAGTGACAACAAACCCTTGAGGCAGCAGGCTGAGATAACAGTTCATGAAACAAAAACACACTTTATCTCCTCTGGGGTGGAGTTGTTGCTGGTTTTGCAGGGAGATAAAAATAAGGATTTGCACAGAACTTTGCCAGGCCTGGAACTGCCAAGAGAGGGAGAGGGGGCTTCCTCTGGTTGAGGGAGGCTCTTCCCTCTGCCCAGAAAGCACAAATCTATTTCTTCCCTCTCTATTACTGTCTTTTCCAGGGTATAGCCATGTTAAGTGTGATAATCATATGAATTTGCACCAGTTGTTCAATGCAGCTGTGCTGTCTAGCCCTTGGATTGCTATTGCTGTGGCAGGGCATCCATGCTTCTCTGTTGTTTTCTGGTTGTTTGGCTTAACTCTGTTTGCTTCCACTTGTTGGAAGTGGATCAGGCCTCTTGAGCTGGATTTTGCGACTGTAGATAGAATAGCGTGAGCTTCATTTTTGTTTCTGTTTTGTTTGACAGAAAGTGAAACAACTGACAGCGTTCCAAGTGATGAAGAAAATGCAGAGGTAAATGTTTTCTGGATTTTTAGCACTTTGGAGCAAGGTCTAAAGAACAATGTCCTGAAGTATTCTTCCCCCTTCTCCGTTTGCAACTCTGTCTGTCAGTGGAGTATTCATTTTAATATTAGCTGGGGGAGAAAAATAAACCAGGAAGGTTCAAGGGAGACAGACATTGGGATTATTGACACATGGTGAATATCTCTACAAGTTCTTTCCTCCTCATCTATCCAAACTGAAAGGAGATTAATTTCCATGATAAGATATTCTGGAGAGCCATAAACAGTGCTGGCTAGTTTGTTAACATGATGCATTGACATTGCTGGATAGCAAGTGTTTTATCTTGGCTGAAAGCATGCTTACTTTGTTTCCCTTAAATGGCACCTGATCTCATACAATTGGAGGAAATGCTTACATGTATGATAGAAATGCAGCTTGAACGTTTGAGGTATGTGAAGCAAAAAGCTTTCCCGAGTAGTCAGTTGAAAAGGAATTAATGGAGAAAATACCTGCCCCATGAACTTTTCCTGAGCTGCACCTATGCAAAACCAGCACTCCCCTTTTCTTTTGAGGTTGCCATCAAGTGACCAGACCTACCAATCTCCATAAGTACTTACAGGCCAGGGGAAGCTCACGAAGCACTTAGGTGGCCTGTGCTCCAGCTGCATGTTTGCAGAAGGCTTCTTGCAAATCTCTCTTCTGCTGCACCCCCCAGAAAGCCCTCTGAATCCTCCATCTAGAAGAACTGTAGGTTGTGCAGTTGCATAATGGCATGGCTAACCCTCTTGGGTTTGTCTCTCATGCCTTGGTTAGGGTGCAGCCCGTATGTAGACTGACAGTAATGACTTACCAAACCTCGTTTGACAGAACATGCCATTACAGCATGGGTGATGGGGAAAGGACTGGATATTCATCTTTCCTTGGCGAACCTCCTCCCTGAAATGTGGGACACACTGTCAAGTGACAGTGGTTTTCCCAGAAGCCTCACCTATGTTGAGGGTTTGGGTGGTGCTGTTTGGGAGGTCTTGGATCTCTGTGGCTGCCTGTTGGCAGGAGGATGCTCTCCTCTGGTAACAGAGGAGCTTTGGAGCTTCCCTTTGTAGCTCTGAGTGTTTGGTCATCCATGTCCATTTTTGGCATACTGGGAATAAGGCCTTTATTTTTGTGGTGTGGTGGACACGCTGGAGGGA